TGTGTTACCAACCAACACTTGTCAGTCATTTTTTAAACTTTTGTAAGCAGAGTGGGAAGACACCATAGAACAGGTCAGTTCATTAACCAACTATGTGGTCAAGTTCATTTTAGCAGGTTAAATTAGCAGGTCAGATCGGTGTATTCCCATTGACTTCACTTCCTGATCACTGGACCGTATCATGTTGTTTTAACCTGTAGGCAGCTTGGAACTGTAGGCAGTATGGGAATACACCGAAAGTAGCAATGTGGGTATGAGTGTGAATATGTGAGTGTAGGTGTGAATATGTGAGTGTAGGTGTGAATATGTGAGTGTAGGTGTGAATATGTGAGTGTAGGTGTGAATATGTGAATGTAAGTGTGAATATGTGAGTGTAGGTGTGAATATGTGAGTGTGGGTGTGAATATGTGAGTGAGACTATGTGAGTGTAACTATATGAGTGAAAGTGACAATGTTAGTGCGCGCGCGACAATGTCAGTGTGTGTGAATATGTGAGTGTGAGCGTGAAATTTTGAGTAAGAAAGTAGCAATGTGAGTGAATGTGACTACGTGAGTGTGAAAGTAGCAATGTTAGTGTGCCTGCAACTATGTGAGTGTGACTATGTGAGTGTGACTATGTGAGTGTGAGAGTGACTATGTGAGTGTGAGAGTGACTATGTGAGTATGTGTGTGACTATGTGACAGTGACTATGTGAGTATGTGTGTGACTATGTGAGTGTGAGTGTGACTATTTGAGTGTGACTATGTGAGTGTGACTATGTGAGTGTGAAAGTGACAATGTTAGTGTGACTATGTGAGTGTGAGTGTGACTATGTGAGTGTAAAAGTAGCAATGTGAGTATGTGTGTGACTATGTGACAGTGACTATGTGTGTGACTATGTGAGTGTGACTATGTGAGTGTGACTATGTGAGTGTGAGTGTGACTATGTGAGTGTAAAAGTAGCAATGTGAGTATGTGTGTGACTGTGAGTGTGACTATATGAGTGTGTGTGTGACTATGTGAGTGTGACTATGTGAGTATGACTATGTGAGTGTGACTATGTGAGTGTGACTATGTGAGTGTGAAAGTGACAATGTTAGTGTGACTATGTGAGTGTGAGTGTGACTATGTGAATGTGACTATGTGAGTGTGACTATGTGAGTATGACTATGTCAGTGTGACTATGTGAGTGTGAGTGTGACTATGTGAGTGTGACTATGTGAGTGTGACTATGTGAGTGTGAAAGTGACAATGTTAGTGTGACTATGTGAGTATGTGTGTGACTATGTGACAGTGACTATGTGAGCATGTGTGTGACTATGTGAGTGTGACTATGTGAGTGTGACTATGTGAGTGTGACTATGTGAGTGTAAAAGTAGCAATGTGAGTATGTGTGTGACTATGTGAGTGTGAGTGTGACTATGTGAGTGTAAAAGTAGCAATGTGAGTATGTGTGTGACTATGTGAGTATGACTATGTGAGTGAGACTATGTGAGTGTGACTATGTGAGTGTGAAAGTGACAATGTTAGTGTGACTATGTGAGTGTGAAAGTGACTATGTGAGTGTGACTATGTGAGTGTGAAAATGTTAGTGTGACTATGTGAGTGTGACTATGTGAGTGTGAAAGTGACAATGTTAGTGTGACTATGTTAGTGTGACTATGTGAGTGTGACTATGTGAGCGTGACTCAACTGAGGTTGAAATCAAATTCTGCATTGAGACAAAGATAATACATTTAAAGCCACCATTTTTCAACTATTAAAACAAGAAACAACTGTTGTAGAGTGTGTAAAATTGTAAAATAATCATTCCTATGATTTCAGTCTTTTAAAACATTTTCTGCTGATTTGCATTAGTGAAAACAAGTAAAACGTGTCTTTGATATTGCAAAAGTGTTTAGGAACAACTAAAATTATCTTTGCTTTCAAAGTAACATTTTTTCATTTTCTGTTTACACATAATAATATCAATCGACAAAACGTAGCAATTTTCAAGCAGTATTTGCATCCATTTCCCGTGTAGAATGATTAGAGTGAGTGAATATGGTTTTACGCCGCTTTTAGCAATATTCCAGCAATATCACGGCGGGGGACACCAGAAATGGATTTCACATATTGTACCCATGTGGGGAATCGAACCCGGGTCTTTAGCGTGCAAGTCAAAACATTGATTACAGAACAGTCTCGTTTCCTGTTGACTGGGTTCCGTCATATTGCGCAACTTAGTACAATAACCAGTCCAGAATTTTGAGACTAATTCATTTAACTTGATACATAAATATTAATCATTATTATTTGATACATCTAAGCACTTGCATATTGCAACACTACGCTTCTTAAAATCCTTGCAAACACGTCGTGCAGCGTGCTCTGTCGTACAGCGAGCACTGACAAACAGAAACCTGGAAATCGTGGAAATCTCAAAACGAGGCTCTGCCGCTAGAAACCATAGTGGTTTGGCGGTCTGGTACGGAATTGATATTATATCAATCACATTGTGCGTTACAGAACTACACTGAATAAGCACTAAAAACACATAACACGTGTAACCAGTGAGCCAGATGCATTGTGAATAATTTTACGACCCCATCAAACAGGGGCACTCTGTGACGTCTTAGTTAAGGTCATGCAGACTACACCTCGCCATAAAATATAGAAATACGATGTTATTAAGGTTTAAAATTAAAATTTTATTGTAAATACCATTTTCTTATGAAACAAGATATTGGAATTCAGTGTAACCATAGTTGTTTGTGATGTCTATTTTCACTTTCACGCGACAAAATTAGGATCGGCTGAAAAGTAGGTCATTGTCTGAATAGGTTAATGAGACTCATGTTTCGGTTTGCGAGCCAACGCTTTAACCACTAGGCTACCCCACCGCCCCGTAGAATGATTAGAGCATAAAGAGAGACTAGGATGCTATGATATGATACACAAATACGTGAAGTATGCCACGATTAAAAGTAGAAGAGAGAAAAGGAGCCACTGGGATGGTGCAAATGGGGTCGACATACAATGCTGTTGCCAACGCCCTCGGATGCCACCGTATCACGGTTTTAAGACTTATTCAGCGCATCAGACAGACTGGATTCACCGTAGACAGACCAAGAAGTGGGCGTCCACGCATCACAACGCCAGCGGAAGATAGGTACCTCCGTCAATAAGGAAGGAGGGTAACGTTTCTTTTGGCGTTTAGTGTAGATAGAAAGACTGATTGCATGAAGGAGCACTGACAAAGCTAAATACAACCGTAAACCCTATCTCTCATTATTACTGCACAGTCATTACACAAACAAGGAACTAAATACACACAGGTCTCAGCAAAATAGCAAAGCAATGCAACAAAACATACGACACTCTCTGTATTGCACTTAGCAATTCTTCTGTTTGGTGGGTACTCTGTTTCCAGTTGTTTGTTTTTTTCCAATAAACGCGGATAGTTTTCATCAAGTATTCAACGCCCATTTGTTATCAAATACTTTCTTGTCTTGAATTTATCTCATTTTGTTGTATGGTCCTAGCGTTATCCGCATTTTATGTACAACGTGCGTACAACGGTTACGTACAACGGTATTGGGGGCGCGGTGGGCGAGCTGGCTAAGGCGCCTGGCTAGTGATCCAGCGAGGTTGAGGTGTCGGGATCGAGCCCACCTGTGACCGGGTGTAAAAACCTTGGAGTCAACTTTGCGTGCAGACTCTTTCAGTGTTGTCACAACCCCTAGTGTACAGTACACAACCCTGTTCACTTTAATGAACCCACGAATCCGTTGGTATATGACCAGATGGTGGCCACATGAATACGTGCAAACACCTAGTTGCGGGTACAGCAACGTGCAGTGAACTTGGACAAAGTACTGTGACTATGTGTCCCAGTCCACCCAGCTGTGAATGGGTACCTCGTTAGGATGAGAAAGCCACAATAACTCGGTGCGCCTAGTGGCTGCAAGAGTTGCATACTCCCCAGGGAGTTGAGATTAATAACACGATGTGCCGTTGAGATTGACATCCAATGATCGAGGGAAAATATACCAGCGCCTTGAGCAAGCACTAGTTGCCTGGATATGTAAATATCGTATAATAAAATTTTTTACGTATGTACAGAAAGAATTATCATGAAGTGAATAAAATCGCGCGAATTTGGTATGGCACAAGGTTTAATTGAACTTGATTAATCCGGACTGTACAATTCAAACATTTCCTTATTGAACGATTTCCTGAAATAGCAGAACGGGATACGCCGGTATGTCCTATGAGGTAAAGAGATAACACAGATACCATAATCACTTCTCTACCATCTCCTACAAGATTATGTGGACACAACAGCATAGGTCAGTTCATAGCACTTATAGTCTGTTTGCCGTGAAAACGTACCGATGAATATCACTTTAAACAAAAAGTAAATCAAAATAAGTGAAATTAAGATTGCCAATCCTCATAATTTTACCTTGCCAAATGAACATTTAAATCGCAACTTAGGATAAAGGTTGTTTAACAAACGATCATAGATTCAAATCGCTATTATTGGTTTGTATTACAAGGGGGTAAGGGCAGTAGATGGAACAGTTGAAACAAATGCACGTGCGGTTCGTGATGAGCGTTAACTTAGACCAACCCTACTTGTTCTCGGTGTTTCATTTAAAGTACATACCCCCTTGTAATACAAACCAATAACTGCGATTTGAAACTATGATCGTTTGTTAAACAACTTTTATCCTAAGTTGAATAAAATTCTGAGATTTAAATGTTCAATTGACAAGGTCAAATTATTAGGATTCGCAATCTTAATTTCACTTTAACCGATTTACTTTTTTGTATAGAGTGAAATTCATTGGTACGTTTTCACTGCAAACAGACTATAGATAAACCCGAGAGTGTTGGTGCAATAGGTACTCACTCACTCACTTGATATCCTGTCTCTGGATGTCACCATGTGTAACAATACATGTGTAACCTATGTAACGATTTATCCATGATATTGCTGCAAACACGCCTCTGTTTTCCAGCACACGTTAACTAGTTAGCCATTCTTCCTGAATAGCAGTTGGTGAATACCAGACAAATCCTTCTGGTTGAGAGTCTTGTTGTTGTAAATCTTAAAGCAAAGCTCGTGGTCCCTGATGTCTGTCCAACCCCCATAAGGCACATCGTGCGTCGGTCTATTTGGGAAATTACCAACAACTTGAACTTTAGCTGGAAACAAGTATTGCGAATTCGTTTTAAGAATATGGTCAGCTTCTTGTTTGACGCTCTCTGTGGTGCAAGACATATTTCTATGGAAACCCTTGCATTTCCCTAGATGAAAAAGCCGACTGGCTGATGGTTTCAATATTTTAAGGCCGCCGGGGATGCACGTGGCGGTCACGTGCTGTAGAGCCCAATCCCAATTACAGTCGTCAAAGAGACAAAACGCCTTTTGACAATCTTTTAACAATTTCCAGAAATCTTTCGTGAACGCTTGACCCCTCCCAACTCCAGCATACCAGTACCCTCTGTTAACGTCGCCTGACTGGGCACGATATGGCTGTGGGGACGTATTTTCCATTCCACCCATGATAAACATCTTGCAGTCCCTGCATTCAGCATCCCGTGCAACGTTCATCTTCTTGATCATATCTAGGGCGTCGGCGGCAAGGTAGTAGTCGTCGTCGAGACGTAAGATCGTCACACCGGGAACGTCTTTGAAGAAGGAACGTTCAAAAACAAACTGAAGTTTCCACAACCAGTGATGTTTGAGTTGTGTATGCTTGGCTTCCCTATAATGCTGGTACCGGTCCGGGAACTCCGCGTTGTTGCACTTCCGCTTCCGGGCCTCGTCTAGAGACAGATCACGTGGACAGTCATTCGGGTCGTCACCGGGGAACATTTTATTGTAAGCTTGTATAGGATATGGGTAGAATATTTGTAGAACCGGACAGAAGTCTATTGAATCAATAATGTCAAATACAGGTTTGGAATAATAGTCGTGACTTACGACAAGAAGGGTTTCATTAATGTACCTGTTTGTTCGGAAGGACTCGAGCTGCATCTTCAATATATCAAGGCGGTCGTGCACCTGAACCAATATCACAACTGAATCGGGTTTGATTTTGTAGTTAAACTTTTCCCCATTCATGATATGCTGTTTTGCATTGATTTGTTCCACGTCCATAGGAAACTGGTTTATATCCATCCAGTTCGGAATACGTGGTCCATGTGGATTTCTTAAAGATCCAAACTGTCTATTAAAATGCTCCGTCAACCTGTTTGCAGTTGAATTCAAGTGTCTGTTCCTCAAAAGTAATCCAGCATGGGAAGAAATTCCAAACTTGCTAGTTATAAAAGATGCAACACAGAAGATACAATATCCAGAAACGATCGCAGCGAAGAACTTGATACCCCTTTGTCGAATGACAAACCTCATGGTTAATTACAGATAGACGTTAGAGCAGCTTGTCAACCACGACCTGTTACTAGCCTCATCGTATGACGATCCAATACGTCTACTGGCACAGCATCACTGTGCGTCATTTGGGCAATGCCTGTATTTCAAACAGCTCCAGACTCACACTGATATCTCTACCACGAACTGCGTCACGTCCTTCCGGGTCTCCGTTCAGAGACGCTCTCTCGGCAAGTGCCCTTCGAATGGAGAGAGGTTTGTGTGGACACCCAGCCTCGTTAAAAGGAACGCGAAGCACTAGATGATAACGCCGAGAAGCTTCAAAGTCCTGACAGTCGCCATGATACGGAAATATGTCAGCAAACAATCGGGAACTTTGGAAGAGCTGGTGCAGATAACAGCCAGAGTGTACGACGACACAATGTGAGGCGTTGATGACATACCCGTGACATGCCCGTGGCAAACAACCCTCATTACCAATGCACTTTGTATCTTATGCACTTTTTGAGTTACTTGATCAGATTCGGCGTAGATTATCAGCAGTTATTGTGAACCGATGCAGGTCGTATGTTACACCACGTGGTAAACAGGAAGAATGTCCTATGTGCTTCAAATGCCCTGTGCATTACGGTGTCATTTATTGTAAACAACATGAATGGTGGTGATGTTGACCATGTCCGTGCCTGCCCTGATCTGCCCTCCCCAGTATTATCTTGTCAGTGTTTTCTGGTGAAGATCATCTGTCTTTTAACGAGTCTCACCTGCATGATAGAAAACAAAACATTTCGTGATCCAAGAAATCGATTTCAAACAAAACAAGTATGACACATTGTACATGTTGGAGTGAATGTGATACTTTCAACCAGGCAACAAGTCCAGTGGGTGAGTGTCGTTTTACGCCGCTGTTAGCAATATTCCAACAATATCATGGCGGGGGACCAAAAATGGGCTTCACACATTGTGCCCATGTGGGGAATCGAACCCGGGTCGTCAGCGTGACGAGCGAACACCTTAACCATAGGGCTACCCCACCACCCCTCATCAAGTCCAGCACGATGGCCCGTATATGATGTAATCTATTCCAAGCAAACGTGTGGGTGATTGCATGAACATCGCTCCATGACTGGATGAGGAAAATAACTTGAGTGAGAGAGTTTACAGTCCGTTCGATTTCATTTGAGACCGATGAATTGCTCACTAACACAAAATCTAATTATTGCAACAAAACCAAATTTTGCACAGTCACATGGATTCGACAGTCCAACTCTGATGATTTGCTGGAATGCTGATGAACGCGGCGTGAAACCAGACTCACTCACTCACTCGTACCATACCCATACGTACCTACCCAACCCACTGTAGCATACCTGTCCAATGCCACTACAATACCTCGAGTCACTTACCGTGCTTGATCTGCATACGATGTATACGTCAAACCGTACTCAAGTCTGTTTTTTTATGTTTTTGATTCCCTTTCAAGTTGTATAATGTACAAACAGAAAAGTGACATAAGTTGGCAGTTTCATGATCAAGTTACATGCATAGTTGTATATACATATGAGGGTGTACAGTAAAGAAAATAGTCTTGGATATTAGAACATGTCAAGTTGCTGGGAAGTTAGATGAGAATGTTACAGCTGTGATGGACTCATTGGTTGGCGTAAGACATATTTTATGAGTGCTTCGTTAGAATGTCAGAGTAAGGTATGTCAGTGTTGCCATGTCCTGGTAAAATAACTAAATCTATCATGTTTCATTGCAATAAACCTTTCAAAGTAAGTCCTTAAGCAATATAAGGTATCCTGCAAAAGATATATTTTGGAAACAAGGCATTTCCTTATGCGGGTAAACATACGTAAATTTTCAAAGTTTCAAATGTTTACACATCTTAGATACATGTATTTATGTACCATGCCGGATATCAAGGTATGTATATGGACGGGTTTTATATGTTCATTAAACCGGTGTTCAAACGAGATGATCATATGTTTCCATCATGTAAATTACTTGGTTCATGTAACTTCATTTCACACATTTTAATAGGTTTGGAATCAACGTTCATCTGACCTCATTAATCTTATCATCTAAAGGGCCTGGTAATGAAAACAGCATTATGCAAGCTAATACGTCTTGTTAAGATGTATTCGCTCTTGCTACCAGTATCAGTTACGCCTTGTCTGCACTGCTGGCAAACATTGTGAGGTGCTTGTTTCTGGGGTTGTATGGTTCAGTTGTGAACAAAGAGCAATGCGCTGCCCCTTTGTCCTTGCAAGTATCGTTACATCCCTACAGAATAAACCTCTATATCTCTTGGAGCACCGGGTACAATGTGTGAAGCCCATTTCTGGTGTCCTCCACCGTGATATTGCTAAAAGCGGCGTAAAACCCAACTCACTCACTCACTCACTCTTGGAGCACAGGGGAGGTGGGGGTAGTCTAGTGCTTAAAGTGTTCACTCGAAGATCCGGGTTCGATTCTCCACATGGGAACAATGTGTGAAGCCCATTTCTGGTGTCCCCAGTCGTGATATTGTTGGAGTATTGCAAAATGCGGCGTAAAACTAAACTCACCCACTCACTCATAGCACAGTCAAATACCCGAGACAAACCATCTCGTCATTTTAAAGTATATTCAGTTCGAGCAACACACGCCTTACAAATGTTGAATGTGAACGTTCAGTTGGCATGCTCCAGACTGACCAGTCTACTGTGGCTCTTGTACCTGCTCTTGTAATGTCATGAGATGCAGTAGACGGGACAATTCACAACCTGAGGACAAGTGTGCATCAAACGGGTTCAGTTTTCACTAGATTGTTTCAATTCACAGTGAATACACACGTTATTCCTTCGGTCTGGAAAACATCAGAAATTGTACCAGTTCCTAAAAAGACACAACCTAAAGAACTCAACGACTACAGGCCAGTTGCTCTCACATCTATAGCAATGAAGTCGTTGGAATGCATCTTAATGAGACATCTCCGACAGGAAGTTGCCGACATACTGGACCCGCTTCAGTTGGCCTACAGGTCAAGGAGAGGAGTTGTGTGAGCCACACTGTCACTCCTTAATAATGTCTATAAACATCTAGAGACACCTAAGTCATACATCAGGATCCTCTTCGTTGAATTTTTCATTTGCGTTCAACACCATCCAGCCATATATCATGATACAGAAACTGTTAGACATGGGCGTTAACTCATACCTCTTCAAGTGGATCGAAAACTTTCTTGTGGACAGACAGCAGTACGTGAAAGTTAACGGGGCTGTATCGAGTAAACGGACCACCAACACTGGTGCACCACAAGGCTGTGTAATATCTCCTGTTCTTTTCACCCCCTACACTAATGATTGTGCAAGCTCGAATTCAACCTGTTCAACTGTAAAGTTCGCAGATGATGCAGCAATTGTCGGCAAACTGAACGACACTGATTCTGAAGAACTGTATAAAGAGGACATTAATCATTTTAAGACTTGGTGTGCAGAAAACCACTTACTCTTAAATGTCACAAAAACAAAGGAAATGATAATTGACTTTAGGAGTAAACCCACAGAAATGCTTCCAGTGATAATCAACGGTGAATGTGTTGAGACAGTGTCGGAGTATAAGTATCTGAGAACCTTCATTGACTCTAAGCTGAACTGGAACTCTAACACTGAAGCCCTATACAAAAAGTGTCAACAACGTCTTCATCTCATGCGTAAACTGAGATCTTTTAATGTTAACCCATCTGTGATGTCATCTTTTTATGTAGCATTTATTCAGAGTATTTTAATATTTTCCTTCCTTTGTTGATACGGGTCTCTCTCAGTTCATCCCAAATCTAAAATAGACAAAATTGTTAACACTGCAAGTAAAATCGCTGGAGTCAGATTTGAATGTTTATCATCAATATATGAGCGGCAAATCGTGAATCAAGCTGTCAAAATTTATATCTCACTACTTATATTCGGAATACAACCTCCTCCCTTCAGGCCGCCGCTACAAAATTCCAATTGTGAAAACTAAGAGAGCCCGTACATCCTTTATTCCAAGTACCATATCTCTCTTAAACAAATGTGAAGATAACTAAATCAAAGAATTTATGTAAATATGTTTGGTATCTCTCTAATGTGTCAGTAGCTCTGCTGATGTAACACAAATTCCTGAAAAGGCATTACAGTATTATTCTATTCTATTCTATTCTATTATCTGATCGCCCCGGGTCAGGACGGCTACGTGTGACGTCACATACCGAGGACAATTCGGGTACGTCATATGCGTAATAGGTTTACGACCGCAGCGTCAACGGTTACGGCCTAATCCGCCGAATTTTGAACAGCCAGTAGTGCCGATCCGTCGAATCACGCTTGAGTGGTTCTGCGCTAATCGGTCGAATTTCAGACTGTGTTAACACACTGGGAGAGTCTAAGTTCATTAATTAAGGGGTCAGCTTGTAGTGGGTTAAAACCCTGACCCTGATACAGCGCTCTGCCCGTTCTGTAGAAACATAGATGAAGACGAGTTCCATGTCCTCCTTGTATGTCCTAGGTATGAGGAGAGCAGACAAAAGTATCTACCAGAATATTATACAAAGCACCCTTTTTTTGTTAAGTTTGTAGGACCACTAGCCAACCAAAATGAAAAACTTACCTTGTGTTAAGCAATTTTTATAACAAAGATATTTGAGTTTCGAGAGACTCCTAATTTTAATCCCTACCGTGCGACTTTAATACCGTACATTAATATACTCCCAGGTTTATGCACCAAGTCTAAATTACTTCTCGAGAAGTTTGAACATCAAGAACTATATA